CTCTGGAATATGTGCGCGCTTTCGTTATGGTCATAAATTTACTGCCAGACTTTTGAACTATTGTGCTCGTTTTACGAGAGTTACTTTTTTTTGACGATTTTTATGAGCTATAATGCATACTCAAAATGCATGAAATCGTCTAAAAACATGAAACCTGGACGTTATGAATATTTTTTAATTGACATAGGCTTCTAAGAAAAGACAATTTTATCGTATCTGTTGCTATGTTTATACATTTTTATACAATAAGTCCACTTCCATAGATTCGAGTTGCGGGGATTCTTAGAATCGCCGTCTAGCTTTACGATCTTAGTTATCCTTTGAAACTAACAAGTATATCAGAAAATATCATATTTAAGACCCATTCAATTCAATTTACACGAATTCTTATTCAAAATTGTTGGAAAAAAATTAAGTGCATAACTCGACGATTTTATGTACCTATATTTATACATAGAAAGGCTTATAGTAAAATTTTGTCCGGCATGACAAACGATATTTACCATCGTTGCTTCATTTTTATCGACACTATGTCTTAAAATGAAAATAAAAAAATATGATGCTTTATATTAAGTGTTATTTTCAATACTTGGTTTACGGACAAATAGTAAAAGGCAGTGTGTAGACACACTAACAGTACTCGATAATTAATCTGGCATTGAACGTCATCAATTTTCGAGGCTGTCCAAATAATGAAATTGGATCACGAAGTGTTTAATCGCATACATATTTTTAGTTATAAAGCTTCTTTTTTGTATATAACTTTGCATTGAGTCGAGTGTTGTACGTGTCTCATTCTGAAATCACGGCACGAACGTTTTTATATTTTATAGTTTTGAGGCTTTGTGACACGTAGGATTAACAGTCGTATTACTGCTCGTAAAGTTTTCGAGATAACGCATACAAATATTTTCGTCTTTTGAGAGTTCCAGTATTTTCTCTATTACTTTGTTTCGTAGTTGGTACGTTAAAAGAGATTTTTGTTAATAGCAGTAAGCATTGAATATTTTTATGATTTCAAGACTATCGTTACGGTCTACTCTATCCACACACTCTCGTACTGAGAAAATAGTATTGGTTTTGTCATCCGTGCAATTTTGTTGGAAAAACTTGAAATTGTATAACTTAATTTATATTGCGAGTAACAGTTTAAAGTATCCGAGATTACTATACGGATTTAGTTGAGTGCGGGCAATCGAATGGTTGTTAGATTCGATTCATTGAACTCAATAATTTTTGTTTGGTGCAGAATGCGATCAGACTCGATCAACTGCCAAAGACGAGACATGGAAAAATTAAGCATTTCATTATTGTTATTATATTATATATTTGTTTTAACTTAAAAATACAAATAAATGTTAGAAATCGTGCAAGTTGTACCGCCTGAATTCATTGCTTCTATTAACCAAAACCCTATGATATCCGCGAGTGAAGTCAGTGCTATGTCCGCTAGACGGCAGATCGTGCAATAATCAATTTGTACCTGGTGTTCACTGAAATTGATATCTACGGAAGATTTATTCATTCCAGTAGCATACGTTCGCATAAGTATGTCAATATAGGAGAAAAGCTATTTCGGGCTTTTTGAGTACTTTGAGGTACATTTTATCGATGTATCGTTGTGTAATAACTTTGGATTATGAACCGTGATTGGTTTGAAATTTACACTGCTTTGCGTAGAAATTTGATTGGCTCGCCAATTAGCAATAAGAATTAGCAATTAGCAATAAGAAATTTATTTATTGATGTAATTATATTTATTTATTCAAGTCCAAATCCTTTTCATTTAAGTGTCTATTTATTAATTGAACTGGACGTCGATTCTGTTGAAAAGTCAAGTACACTAAAGTAAGTCAACTACTCATTTTTACGAATATGTTCTTGTTTTCAATTCACGATGTTATTTCGTTTTCCCATTCGTAATAAATAAACACCAAAATTCAATGATGCTGCCTACGAATTTAGCTCTTTTAGTTTGCTAGTTAAAATCTGCAATCACTTAGTTGCCAACCCAATATAACAGATTTTATATACTTCATAACAGTGGAATGGAATTCAAAGTAATTTTATATTGTTTAAAAATATTAGCTTTTACTTTGATCTTTGTATTGATCTATTAGATTCAAGAACACTCGAGCGCGTTCTACTTTTCAGTGACGTCGTGCGATTCTATTAATTCCATCGTGCGTAAGTTTCTCTTGTGTACAGATGCCAGGAATTAGTTTTGGCTACGAAAAAAAATCATATCAGCTGCGTCGGTATTCTTGATTCATTCCAGCAGACTACTCGTGTCGCTTATGATGACGCAAATGGAGCTGCCCAAAAGAATTTCTGAATCATAATTGTGAGAGATGAACAGAGAAATCACTTAATTCGACAGTCTCGTACTACCAACCTTTCAGATCCATTAAAAGTAAGATGAAGGATAAAATCTTTACCTAACAGTCAGAACTTATTGTTAGACATCATTCATCTCGGGGCATTTAGATATTCGAATATACAGAAATGGCGAAGTTCACTATTAGTCGGCATTTTCTATTGTTTTCAAGAATAGGTGTAGGTACAAGCGTGGGTCTCAGACCGGAAACGTCATTGACCTTTCGATATTTGTACACGTGTCGAATATGTTCTACGGCGTTAAGGGGATATTTTACTTTAAACGGTTAATGAAAAATCGATTTTTTTTTGGTATTTTTTAATTTACATATATTTTTAAAAATGTCTCAGAAGAATTATTTATAAAAATTTATGTGACAACGAAAAAATTTAGTGTTTTGAGCGATGATCATCTGAAGTTGTAAGAGAGACCAGAATTTTGGCTAACGAAGAAGATCACATTTATGGCCTTGAAATAAATAGTAAGTGTGAGTATAATAAAATTCATATAAAACCACAATGGATTGCCATGATATTTCAAGAACGGATAATTCGATCGACTTGAAAGTTTACAGGCATCCTCAGTACATGTATCGTTGTATCGCCACTACAAAAGTTAAGTCAAAAATTTTAATATTTCGCTGTAGACCAGTTAAGGTAGAGAAAGCCAAAATTCGATTTTTTTTTCGAACATGCTGCCATTTTTGTCAATTTTTACTTCTACCAAAAAATATTGCTGCCGATTATTTTTCTACAGTTCTAGATTAGGATTTAATTTGGATTTTCTGTTTCAGATATACCAAACGTCTAGAATCATCGCAGCTAACAGTGAACTATTTTTTTCAACTCGGTCTGAGAGGCTCGTCATAATTCAAGAAAATGTTATTTTTCTTCAATAAATAGTGTAAACATAGCTAAAGGATTAATAAATATGTAACATTTTATTAAAAATATGTTTTCCTTCTAAAAAATTTCCAAAGTCCACGTCTAATATTGATCGGCAATGTAGTAAAATACCTCTGTTAAGGTAGTATTGTAGAATTATATTAGAAAGTTGCCTTTACATTGTTTTAATGCCTAATCGAATGAACTCAATCGGCTGCATCTGCCGGCTCAAAACAAAATTTGTTTACCGTCTAGTTGAAGAGATATTAATTATTAAAATTGGGAAAAACTAAGATATTGGGGGAAAAATCGTTTTATTTAGTCAGATGTCCTTAATTTTCGAAAAAGTTAGCAAGTTAACCTATGCATTAACATATATTTCCAGATAGCTTGATATCTGAGGCGTTCACTGTAAAAAAATGAGTATAATTTAACGTATACTTCTTGAGAAATTACTGTTACACGAAGCGCATACAGCGACTGTCTTTCTCTTTCGCGTGTTCTTTTCTCCATCCGTAAACGCTAGCGACAAAAAAAAGGGTACAGATTTCGGCGGTCAATAAGCATTATGATTTATTTATCACATTTTTAATATATTTTTCTATTTGTTTTATGAAATTTAACAATTTATATATGGCTATTGATTTGACTTCAGTCAAACTCTACCATGCTACCTTAAGTTGGAGGCACACCTTATCGTTGGCTATTCCTCTCGTGGGTTGGCAATAGTCGTCCGCCTACACGAAACATCTCGACTTGTCAAACAGCCTCCAAATAGATGCGCCGCTGCCTACTTAAATCGCGTCTCCTGCTATGAAGTATCATTAAATTATTTACCTCAATGTATCCTCTGGATACTCTGAAGCGTGAAGCTATTCGTTTTGTTTTCTTACACCATTGCTCCATTTTATTTTATTTTCCTTCCGGGCGATCGAACTTCCTTTTCAGCCCCCCCCCCCGCTCCCCCACCTTCCTTCATTTCTTATTTTGCGTTCTTGACACTTACATAACTTCTGCAATAACACTTCTTAACGAAAATCGTTGCCTTTTATGGCTCCTGAATTTCAAGAACGTTGCGCAACGTATACATTTATTTTATGATCGGTGAAAGCCAAGACGACGATTCCTGATGGGCGAAAAACTGGATAAGCTCTGAGTGATAGTATCTTCTCCATTAACTTTTTCGTTGCTCGGACTGATAGGCGCAAATATTTCTTCACGTATGTCAATGGTATTACGCGTTTGAGTGATTGACAATTACTTGATATATTTCTTCATACATTTCTTATTATTGTTTATATCGTGTATTGATATTGCGATTTCATCTACGGAGAAGGCATCAGTTGTTACGAAATGGAAGTACGAGTGGTATATTTTTCTGCGCCCAACCCAGTGAATAATATTAGAACTCTTTCGTAGAAGTGTTTAGCATATTTGATATTGCAATCAAGTAACCTCATATTTTTCGTGGACAGAAAATCAATCTATTGTTACAATATATTTACTTCGCAATTGATCATTAAGATAATAATTTTTGTTTTATCATATATATACATATGTTACGTACATGCATGAATGCATATAGATATTTCAATCGGATTTTATTTCGTATACCTTAATTTTGACAATTAATAGAAGTGAAATGTTAAGAATATCTTAATTGTAGTGTTATTGGCTGATCAAGTTTTGACTTGAGTCCATTTCTTCGTGATTGATAAAGATTTGTCACGTTGTTACAGCTCTGGGAATAACTTGTTACTGCGACGGTGACTGCCCGGACGATCGTCAGAATGGAACCTGCGAAGGCAGGCCAGGAGCATATTGCTACACTGCTGTCAAAGAAGTACAGGATACCGAAACTGGCGAATATGTTCCAGAATGGTATGTAATAAAGCATTAATAAATAACGAGAATTTTGAGAAAATATTTTTGAGTGGATGATCAGATCATGTATGTTTTACAATTATCATTAGCATATTACTAAGAAGCAGTAATTTTATCTAAAGAAGAATTATTATACTTATAAAATTGACTTTACTTTAATTCTTTGCAGGGCGTTTGGCTGCTTACCACCGGGCGAACAGGGCCTCATTCAATGTAAGGGTTACCTAGTGCCCCATTTTCAACGAAAAGGCATATCCTGTTGCAACAACACTGACTTGTGTAATAAGGACATGTTTCCGATGTACAAACCAAGACCAACAGCAGCACCAGATCCTATAGCTATTGCTTCTGGGGCCCCGTTGATTGTCCTAGCAGCTTCTCTCTCGGTTTGCCTAATAGTTTTCTGCGTGGCTATGGTGATCATATATCACCGTTATCGCAGGAAGGAACGAGGCCCTTGTTTAGTACCATCTCAAGGCACGCTAAAAGATCTTATAGATCAGAGCAGTGGCTCAGGTTCGGGACTACCTCTTCTTGTGCAGAGAACTATAGCGAAACAGTTGGCTCTATCGCAGTGTGTCGGTAGAGGCCGCTATGGAGAAGTCTGGCTTGCAAGATGGAGAGGAGAAAAGGTCGCTGTTAAAATTTTCTTCACCCTAGAAGAAGCATCGTGGTTTCGCGAGACGGAGATATATCAAACCGTCCTGATGAGGCATGACAACATCCTAGGCTTCATTGCAGCCGATATCAAAGGAACTGGGTCATGGACTCAGATGCTTTTAATCACGGACTATCACGAGAGGGGATCCCTTCATGACTATTTACAAACTACGATACTCGATCATCCAGGTCTCTTGGCCATTTGTTTGTCAATAGCTTCTGGAATTGCTCATTTACACACTGAGATCTTCGGAACCCATGGGAAACCAGCGATAGCTCATCGTGATATAAAGAGTCGGAACATCCTGGTGAAACGGAATGGCGAGTGCGCTATAGCAGACTTCGGACTTGCAGTACGATTTATAAGGTAGGATCGTTGCGCAACGACCGGTTATTTATGAGATTCCTTAAGCGATTCTGTTATATTGCCTTTTATGTGACATCTGATCGCTTTTCTCTACCACCAATATCTATCTATTCGCTGAAGATCATAAACGTTAATGGTCCTCGTCGTGCACCTAATGCAATACATTCACATCTGTATAAAGTTCAACGTTTAATGAACCTTTTTTGTACTTTTCAGCGAGAGCGGGGAAATTGACATAGCTCCAAATACGAGAGTGGGCACACGACGTTACATGGCTCCTGAAGTCTTGGATGAGAGTTTGAATAACTCGTCATTCGACGCTTTCAAAATGGCAGATATGTACTCCGTTGGTCTCGTCTTATGGGAAGTATGCAGACGATGTGCAACAGGGGGCAAAGTGTCTACGGCTGAACCTTATGCGCTCCCGTACCACGACGTTGTACCTAGTGATCCTGATTTCGAGGCTATGAGACTAGCTGTTTGCGTCAAGAGGTTACGACCCGTAGTACCAGCAAGATGGGAAAATGATCCGGTAAAGATTCTTCTTTGAACTTTCTTATTTGTTTCTCTTTCGTTTTCTCCTCTCTCGTCTTTCATTGTCAAAAATTCGTAGGCCTTAAAATGTGGAATACATTGATAATAATTGAATTTTTTATAGGTCCTTTTTGCTTTGAGCAAGCTAATGACCGAGTGCTGGCACGGGAATCCAGTGGTGCGTTTGACTGCACTCCGAGTCAAGAAGACTATGTCCAAACTGCACATTGACAATGCCATAAAGATCGTGTAGTGCTCGAAAGGAAAACGGACCCTTCAAACTGTTATTTTTCTTCTCTAGTTGAAAGATACTTCCCCTGTAAATACATGCCCTGGTGTACAAAGAGTCCATGACACAGACTGCAGCCTAAAGACTGAGTACTGAAATTTATAAATACATGGTGAGCGAATGTGTGTGTATGAATCGATGTGATGATGTCCAATGAGAGCGACCAATTGCCAGTGCGAATGCGAATATAAGTATGAGTGTAGTCTTGCGACTTTCAGTTTTTGTTTTGTTTTCGAGCGAGACGTTATGACGATGGGGTTGTCGTGATTCTGAAAAAAATCATCTTTTGGCACTTTGTTACTTTTTATAACCGGACTACATACTGAAATAACTTGAACATATTGCCACTCTGATGAAAGACTTCGATAGTTAAATTTAAAAGATTTCGATGAGTATTTGAAAAATGCAAACAATTGCCTTTCGGATTACTCTTTCAGTTTTGGGTTCATTGTTGCCAAACTGATGTTAAAATTATTGTTAACCATGCAGAATGTGCGCTGAAATACACTTTGATAAAGAATGTTTGTCAGAATCCTTCAGAGTTCACTTAAAAGAAACTGTCAATCTTTTTTAGTTGATTTTATACAAACTACGCGAAGGTCGTGACAAAATAGTTATTTCGGATGCACGTAACGGTCACTTGATTGGACCAATTGATCGAGGTTCATAACGAATTGCGACATTAACATTTTGTTAATTAAATAATAGAAAGGCTACTACTTAGAAACGTGTACGATACATTGTGGGAATGTCATATCCCAAAATATTCAAGCCTAACTAGAGGATTTAAATCAAACCCAGCATGACTGTTTCGTTTCCTATTTTTTTTTGAACGAAGTACATATTACATAACAAAAAATCGCCTACTTTTTCGTCTTAGAAATTTATAAACACGAAAATTTAAAAGTTCAAATAAACTTCTTTCCTTTTCCATTAAACCATGATATAACACATGCTGGTTTTGCTTTTCAATTCCTCGTATCCCCAAATACAATTATTGTTAATTAATTACATTTTTTCGAGTATATTAATATTATTTTTATCAGGAAACTTGAATTGTTGCAGGATGTTCACGGATTTACATAGTTTATAGAATACAGTGCTATATAGATGCTTGTAAGTTTGGAACGAATAGAAGAGAGAATGTTTCTACGATTATTATGAAATATCTACACATTTGAATGACATTGATAAGGCTAGTGTAAAATAAATTTCTTACATATTCGGTACTGCTGAAAATTTAACAATACCGATAAATATTACTTACTGTTCAGCTCCAAATTAATCATAAAATTAACCCTTAACCGTGAATGAGAATTTCTCTCTCTCTCTCTCTCTCTCTCTCTCTCTCTCTCTCTCTCTCTCTCTCTCTTTCTTTCTTTCTCTGCAGAGGGGATGGTCAGCTGTATGCTGAGCCAAGTTTCCCACTCTAGTACCGGTAGCACGGCTGAGTACGAATTTGTGGCGTTACAATTTTTCCATTTATTTCAGGCACTATAAGCAACTCTGTATATTACATAGTACAGTATATAATTTATGTTTCTAATCTGTATAGATGAGAGATATCGATTTGGTATTAATTTGATACCTAAAAATGATTTTATAAAATCGATCGACAGTTTAAACCAATACATTTCACAATATCGTGAAAATATTCGACAATATCGCAAACAAATACTAAGTCTCTATTCTTTAAAATATAGGACATATTAATAGTAATATACATATATGTACTTGTATATTCATCAACTAGAAATTCTTTGCACAATCACTATTTTTTATGCATGAATCAGACGCAGCGCAATAATTTATATATATTTACACATCAATTATAAAAGTATTCCAAGATGAAGGACTCTCGATCGTTTTCCTAAAATCGTTATGTTATAGCATACAGTTTTCGAATGTTACACATCGAAAACTATTGTTAAATATTATCCTAATTCTTTACTAGGAAAATCAATTGTAACTATATTATTATAAAGTGTACCTAATGGCTATTTGATTGAAAATAATGAAATTTATATTTTTAACGAGTATTAAATATAATTTTTTCCATGTATAGAATTACTACTATTTTCAATGTCGCAGTACGTATCTTTTTGTTATTTGCACACAGTATATCATGAATAATGCTCATAGGTTATTCTAATCAATCCTATTTTCATACATTTCAATAACGAGATTACTTTTAACAATTGACATAATTTTTCTAATTCTTATTTCCGTTGAAGTATCACTATAAGGTTATATTTCAGGCCTCCATGATTTCAGGGTCAATATTTGAAAGTACTACTTATTAAAGTGCTGAAAAATACAAACAATTTAGGACTAAAAATAACATTAAAAACAATTATGCAGTGACTCTTAGTCAATATAATTTTCATAATTAACGTAATAATTCGGTACAAACGTTTATAGTAACATAAGATATTTTGATGATCATAACTGTTTTGCATATGTCGTAGCAGAAAAAAGAAATGGAAACTACACAATATCAAGATGGCAGAATAGCGTCAAATCGAAATTTATAATGGCAGATAAGATCGATAGTTTCTTTTTGACATAATATCATGTATTTAACAGTTTTTAATGCCACGGAATGAAAGATGAAATATTCCCCGAGTTAGTATAAACATCTTTCCCACTTCACCCTTCGAGGATAGTAGACATCAGTTGGCTCATATGTGGACTACCCTCTTTTATATTCTTAATTCCTTGATTGATTTGACGAAACTTGAGCTAAGGTTTACGACGGCGTTCTTTACAAATTGGAAGTCGAAAATGTGAAAACAAAACGGTTAATTAAATGTTTTTTCATTTTTTTTTTCTAACTACAAAGTGTTAAATCAAAATGGTACTGTTGTATTGACAATCATAATAGCAGATTAGAGAAATGAAATAAAATCAAAATCAAAATCAGTGACCCTAAAAACCTTAAAGTACCATGATTGTCAATGTTTATTTTCTGTAAAACCTCCTCGTTTTGAAAAGGTTAATATGATTAACCTCAAAGCTCGTTATATTTAGTCCGATAGATCGGGAGAAGCACCCAATTTTAATTTGCTCTTGATGAAACGGTCAACACATGAAACACTGTGGCGACTGAGAGTCGCCTCTCGAGCGCAAAGGGGTAGATTTTACTGTGTCTCAAGTAGAGTGAATGTTATATTACCAAACCATATTGTTCGTTCGTCTTCTCTCTTAGTCATGTTATCTACCATTATACAGGGTGTGTAAAAATATTTCAGCAAAACTTCAGGGAATGCAATATTGATCAAATCAAACAACTAAGTTTTAATTTTTTTCTTTGTTTATTAATAGGGGTGAATAGATTATTCTGGAACTCAAGGAATAGGGGAGTCAGTTCAGAAAAATACCGGTGTCCATAATACTCGCACGATTGAAGGAAGGCCTGTGGATGAACACACAATCCCGCTACAGGTACACGCGAATGGGGCATAATAAATAACAAACAATAGTCGCACACAAAGGAGGAAACAGCAGTCTTCAGGTTAATTGAACATGATGAGCCAGTCACTGTTTTGTGAAGCTCGAAAGGGAAGAGAGCAGCAGGAAGTGAGCAAGAACAGTTATTGAATTTCCTTTAGGTAAATTAAACGTCCCAGGTACTGGACAAAGCTTGTTTGCAAGAGAGAAAGAAATACGGTTTCTTATGGGCTTTCGGGGACTTAGGATGCTTACCTTACGTGAGTAATGAAATAACAACAATTCGCTTATTTTTAAAGGGGAAAATGATAAGTACCAAAGTTGTAGCAAATTTAATTCCCAACAACTTTAGTTATTATCATTTTCTGTGTAAAATTGAAAATAAACGAGTTATTTAATAAATCAAAATTCCCCCTTAAATTCAAAATGGCGGCATTCACCC